TTAATTTACTATTATTACTGCTATTAGGTTAGCTCAAATGACAAAATCTGACAAGTTTGGTCAAAGGAGAGGGGAGTGGCTGAGAGATTTCACTAGGTTAGCTCAATGTCCTTCAAGAAAATAAACCAATCCGCTGTAATGACTGACAAAAATTGCTTATGATATGCTTTTATGGTTAAAATATGGAGGCCCCCGGCCAGTCCATTCCCGCTGCGCCAGGTGACCAGTCCACCCCTGCCTGAGCCCCCTGGTGTAAGGTGTGGGAGAAAAGTGGCCTTCCCAGTAGTGAAATTAGCAAGAGGAGCTTCATCCTCACACTCTGGATCGGGTCCAGTCGAGCCGAGACCGTGCCAGAGTCAAACCATCAATCCTGGCTTGGCTGATCCAGGAGAGGTTTTCACATGGTTCTTTTAATCACTTTGACTGACACGCTCACTGTGGGTTCTTCTTGCACTTTGGTGTCAAAGTAACATCTGAAGGTAATGAGTGCAGCAGTAAATTAACTACAACATGATAAGTTCTCTCTCTTTTTTTCTTTTTTTGCCCTCTCTTTAAGTAATGCAGGCTCCACTCAGGCAGAGCTGTAATTTTGTGCATCATCCATCACAGCTGCAACCCAACTGGATTAAACATGAAGTGCCAGAAGAGTCAGAAACTTAGGCTTTCAATCAAAGGAGTCTTGTCATATCTTATGCACTTCATTAGCTTTCTGAAATCGTTTTTTTTCCTCTATAATCTGGCTAGATTTGACAAGTGGCACGTGCCTGCATGAAGTGCTTTGACCTTGAATGTTGCAGCTGCTAAACAAAAGGCTTGAAATGAATTTAAAGGACTTCTGCCTGTCGGTGGTTAAATTTATTAGACTGCAGAGCTTCTGTTTTTCTAATTAGTAAGTTATTTCAATTTGAAAATATGCACGACAGCACATGCGTGCAAACATCTATGTCAGTGCATTGACTTCATAATCTTAGTTAACTTCATCTGCAGTTTTTTTTTCCATACAGATTTATGACTAATGTCTGAAAATATCTTAAATTCAGGCCTCTGTCATAAAAAAAAAAAATCCTGTTTTTCTCACAAATTTGCACATTTTTGACTTCAGAGAATAATATCCAAGTTTTTTCTTATGGAAATCCTTTCAAAATTTCTGAAAATTTGACAGACATTTGCTGTGGTATTAAAGTAGTCCATGGCCAAATATTCTTTTTTTGGCTTGTTTTTTCTTTTCTCTACAAAGTATTTGATTGTTGGCAGAGGATCGAGATACACAACGTTTTTGACACAAAGCAGATTACCAGCCCTAGTTCCTCAAAACCTTTGAATGCATAAAGTGCAGGAAAATGCTAAGCTTCTAGCTTGTGTTGCTCCTAGTTGTTGGCAACAATTCGAATCCTTATTTTCCAATTTGCGACTAGAAAAAGAAAGCTGAATGCAGTGACGTTTACTGATCAGAGCTCAGATTTCCAAGGAAATGAACTAAAAATCTGTTCCTAAAATATCTGGCAAGATATTTTAGGAACAGACGTCCACTCTGCTAGTCCATAAGGGACTTCCAGGTTCATCCTGTCCAACCTTCACAGACCAAGATTAAACAAAAACACCTGGTGAGATGCGATTGCATCTGAAATGAAGTTGGTGTGAATGTGTCCTCATGTCAGCATGCTCTCAACAGCTCGAGCATCATGATGCAGAGACGAGCGTGTCGAGCCCTTAGCAAGTCAGAGATTAAGCATTTGTAACCTTTTCATTGCTTTTAAAGATGATTTCATATTCAGGATTTCTTTGCCATACAACAAACTCTCCCTTTTACCAAATCACATCCAGAGGATTAAAATGTTCTGCATCAAAGTGAAGAATGATTTTATGGGATTTAACTGCATCAGCTTTGAAAGCTGCTTTGTGAAACGGGCCCTTTGAGGCCCCTATGCAGTGCAGGGGGATCCTGTCACATTGCTGTCTTGGACCAGTGATGAAATAATCTGCGATTAAACTGTGAGTGCGATGCTTTGATTGAAGCCAGTTTAATTGCCGCCCTGTGTCGTCAAAATGGGTAATCTTCGTTACTGTGAGTTTGTCTCAGGTCGGGCCACATATGAATAATGCAGAGCGAGGCATCTGACTGAGAGGCTGGTTAAAGGAGGCGCTCCTCTGATGTTGGCAAACAAGCTTTCTCTCTCTCTCTGACATTTCCGAGGGAAGCAGGAGGAGAGAGAAGAGGGAGATCATGGAAGTTGGATTAGAGTTCATGCTCAGTTTGTTTGGTTACAGTACGATGAGATGTGATTGTTGTTTCCTGCTGAATTAGGCTCTTATAAAGCGTCCGTCTGTTTGAAACTAAGTTCATTATAAATTTACCAAAATCCCTCTGTCAATCAGGAACCTCCTGATTATCACTCGGACCATCTGTGTTTGAATGTTTTTGTTGCAAACAAGAAGCACTGCAGCGATTTTTTTGTTGTTGTTGTTTGTTTATGGATGAATCTGTGATGGAATCCTTTAGTTTTATTTTTTTGTAGATCTGTGAGCTGGTATGTATGTTTGTATGTCTGTGCTGATTATTTGTTTTCATTGCTGACCTTCTGACACTAAAACTGATCCTAAGTCTGACTTGAGTTACACGTTGGATAACGCTAGCCTGAACTTGACACATTTAAATACACTTGGTTCACACGTTATTTTTTCTAAAACTAATAATTCCTTTTTGTAATTTTGACATTACGGTGCATGGCTATTGTATTTTATTTTTTTTTTTTTAGATTTTTTTCTATCATGACTTGCTCTTCTACATAGTGACAGATTAAAGTTCAAGTCTTTGTTCTCAGGTTACTTTGCTTCTTTTCCCTATTTACTTTTGGATGAAATATGAGGAGACCTTTCTAAAGGTTTCTTTTTAATTTTTGATAACTTTTTGCCGCTTTGGTTCCACTTCTCATTGTGGTGTTTGTTTCCTATGACATGAGAGGTTACCTTCTCTGATTGGAGTGAAATAACCCCTTTTCCACACAATAGGTTGTGAACAGTTTTGTGTTGAATTTTAAATTCATTTTGTATAAATCAAGTTGACTGACTTATGAAAAGACTTGTAAGGTGATGTGAATAAAAAGCACTCAAAATCTGAATCTGTTGGACCAGAGTCGGATTATTATATTAAACAAACAAAAATAGAAATATTTTGGATTAAAATTTTCTCGTTTTTTGGACTGACAAAAAATGGGTGGCACCTTCCTTTCCCAATTTTGTTATTCCAATCCAGGCCTTCAGCTTGGCTGCTTTGGTTTAAATCCCTGAAGATGGACCAGGTCATTATTGACCTCGGCGGGAAACTTCCACTTTAAAATTTACAACTGTGGCATTTTGCCCTCAGGCAATGTCTGAAGCTTTGTGCTGAGAGAGATATCCCAATCTTTGTTCCTCTCATTCTGAGTTCAATTTAGCAGCTCAGAACTATGAATAAATCTAAAACTACATAATTGAATTCCTCGAACGGAGCGGATTCTCAAGGTTGGGAGAGAATGCAAATCTGTTTCTCAGCCTGAACAATGACAACGAAGCATCATAAATCCTAAAGAGGAAAATATGTGATGAGAAATGGTGCAGAGAACAGAAAACGGTGCATTTCATCCCCATCCAGAATTGAATCTGCCACATAGAAGTGTGTTATTGTTTTAAGTTAATTATCACTATGTCGTGGTAATTTAGCTGGATCATTTACAGCATTTAGTATAAGCAACGTTCGAATCGGCACTTTTAAATTACTCCTTAATTCTAATATCTATTATTTGTTTAGAGGATTAGCAAGTATTTATTCAACAGTGTTTCCCTAATTATTTCTCCTGACATGTTTGGTTGTGTGCATGATTCGTCTTCCCTCGGGGAGTGTGTACCGATTGGGTGTGCTGCTGGAGCCGACTAACAGGAGGAGGAATGGCATTGAATACCAATGCACAGGCCGGTCAGTCCTTGCAGAGAGACCAGACACTGTGTTTTTGTCTGGTGTGTGTGTGTGTGTGGGTTTGGTGGAAGATTGGACATCCCATGTGTGTGCTGCGTTCGTGTGTGAGTGCGCGCGCGGCCGCCTGCGCTCTGTTTGCTTGCTGCTGTGTCCTCAGTCACATCCCGTCTGGATCGAAACCCTGCCCTTCCTGTGCTAAAATAAACCCACCTTGGGACGTCGAGGACCTTGCACAGAGTGCTGATTGTTACACCTTTGATTTCTCTCCGACTTGGGTCACACTCTGCTTGCGGCCCAACACTTTAAAGCACGGACAGAATATTGCAGAATATGCACAGTTTATTTTAACATCATTTATGTAATTACTTGATTTGACTCTTTTGAATCACAGGAATTGACAGAATTTTACTGTTCTTGCTTATTTCCTTTTGTGTCCATGCTTTCCTATCAATATTAGTTTGCACATAATTTATTGCCTGTTGTTTGTAGCTCTTCTGATTTTGTGGTAAACAGGAAAATACCTTAAAAAAAACACACTAAAGGAAAAACTCTAGACAATATAACTTTATTACATACAGCTTTAAAAATCTCCTTTACCTATAAACGGCCCTAATCAGAAAAACTCAATAGCAGAAATATTACACATATGAGGTGGTGAAGTTTTAAAAATTAATGAATTAATTGTGTGTGGTTCAGTTTGCTCAATTATTCTGAGCAATTCGTCTATGGGAAATTTAAGCTAAATTATGAGACACCAGCTCACTAACAGGCTTGTTTTTGGCAGCACGAGGTGCACCGAGAGACTCTAAGCCATGCAGAAACATCCTAGGACCTTCTTACTTCAAGGCAACAATTGTAACCACTTCCACTTCTTAAACAACCTTTAATTTAATTGAGTAAGTTGAAATGGGCAAAAGCCTAAATCACGCAAGACACTGATCCTTAAAGAACAGAGCTGGGGATTTATAGTTTTGTCTTTTTATTTTCTGTCACATAAATTCCTTTTATGTGAATTTTGAAGAACTCTTTGTCTCTGTTCTGGTTTCAGCTCATAGTGGAGAAGACCACAGACTTCCCCACTGCTGAGTTCTCTCTGGTGGAGGATGTGGCTCTGCACTTCACCTGTTTGATGGACAGGCTGAATGAGCAGCGCCTCTTCCAGCCTGACCTCTGTGACGTGGACATCGTGTTGGTGCGCCAGCGCAGCACCTTTCCTGCACACAAGGGAGTGCTGGCGGCCTACAGCCCCTTCTTCCACTCTCTTTTCGCCCAAAGCAAACAGTTGCGGCGTGTGGATCTGTCCCTGGACGCCCTGACCTCTCAGGGCCTCCAGCAGATTCTCAACTTCATTTACACCTCCAAGCTGCTGGTGAGCAGCAGCACCGTCCGTGACGTGCTGAACGCTGCCACAGTGCTTCAGATGAGCGACATCGCGGCGTCCTGTCGAGATCTCCTCAGCAGCCACTCGCTGAGAGCCACCTGCAGAGAGATGGCCAATCAGGAAGGGTTCGACCCAGCTGAGATGCCTCCCTGCCAGCTGTACCGGGAGATCAAACAGGAGTCCGAGCTCGGCAGGGTCTACACGAGAGAAGGCAGCAGCCCGTTCTCCGTCAGAGTGGAGGAGGTGGGAAAGATGGTTGCCCAGACAAAGCAGTACTATCAGAAAGAGGAGGGGCCGGGAGGCGGGGCCAGCACGGGTGTGGCCTCTCTGTGTAAAGTGGAGGGCGACGGAGAGGAGTCGAAACCAGCGGACAGTCACACCTCCTTCAACAGAGATCAGATCATCGTCGAAGTCAACCTCAACAACCAGACCCTGAACGTCTCGAAGGGATCCGATGGGAAATCTTCCACAATCACAGAACCCATGTTTGGCCGTTGTCATGAAAACGAGAGAGACTCTGAGGGTGACGAGGACGATGAGATGGAGAATGGTGACGGACGTGAAGAGGAGGGCGACGACGATCTAAAGAGGACAGACATACTGGGGCATACCAGTGGAGAGGAAGATGAGGAGGACGAGGAGGAGGAGGAAGAGGAGGAGAACACCTTAAACATTCCTGGACTGGAGCAGCCAGTCGTAATGGATCGACCTCGCCGGGGAACCAGAGCCTTAGCCGTGGTGGGCGCCACTGCCATGCGTCAGACGCTCGCAGAGGCCACCCTGACCAACCAGCGACAGGGCGGGAAGAAGGCACTGGATGCAGAGGGCCTAGGTCAGAAGGTCAGGCTGGAGGAGAAGCAACACTTCCCATGTAAAAAATGCCCTCGCATCTTCAACAACCGCTGGTACCTGGAGAAGCACATGAACGTCACGCACAACCGCATGCAGATCTGCAACAACTGTGGGAAGCGCTTCCTGTTGGAGAGTGAGCTGCTGCTGCACCAACAGACGGACTGTGAGCGGAGCATCCAGGTAGGAACCATTCACGCTCTCACCTTTCAGATTATGGGAAAGTGGAAGGAAAAGCAGAACTGGCTTTCCAAGTTACTTGCAAAATTCTGAAAATGTGGCATTTACTGGTGTTCAGCCATTTGTTCCAGTACTTTGTGCAGCCACCTCTGCTGCCATTACAGTTGCAAGGCTTTCTGTGTTTGATTGAGACAGAGCAATGTTTATTTTTGCAAAAACAGAGAGTGTCTGCGAATGTAAATTTTCAAGAACTTCCGACAAATTCTTGGTTAGACTTTTAACCCCTCAAACATGAACCCAGTAATCACGACATCTCCCCTTCTTTGCTGTGTGCTTTGAAAGTGTGTGACCTGTGGAAAGGCTTTCAAGAAGCTGTGGTCGCTGCACGAGCACAACAAGATTGTCCACGGCTACGCGGAGAAGAAGTTCTCATGCGAGATCTGCGAGAAGAAATTTTACACCATGGCTCACGTCAGGAAGCACATGGTCGGTGAGTGACACTGCCATCTACTATCTCTGTGGGTCACCTCGCTCCCTTGTGTACTTTGGGCTTCCTCCTCTACAGCTTTTTAATTGTTGAGCAGGATTTGTTTTGGGTGTTGCTTTCCTTTTCCACTTTTTCTAAAGGATAAGCATCTTACTTTCCCAGACTGCTTTTGCACATCCATCCAAGAATATCTTGCATATATTTATCCGTTGTTCATACTTACAGTGCCTGTAAAAAGTATTCACTCCTTGGATGTTTTAACAAATCAGTTATGGTTGATGTTTTTGGAAAAAAAAAAGAATTAAAAAACATCCTTCAATGTCAAAGCATAAAACATAACATTCATGCTTGCATAAAAGTCACCCCGTTGAAGTCAGAATTTTATAGATGCACCTTTAGTGCAGAGTCTGTGCATTGGTCTGAGTCAGACTTGCACTTCTGGACGCTGAAGTTTTACTCACTTTTTCCATCCAAAACTGTCTGAGCTCTGTCAAGTGTAGCCACAAATTCTCTATCGGATTGGATGTGTTTTTAATGTTTGTGCATCTCGTTGTTTGTGTAGCCCATACGAAGGACATGCCATTTACCTGTGAGACATGCGGAAAGTCGTTCAAGCGCAGCATGTCCCTGAAGGTCCACTCTCTGCAGCACTCGGGAGAGAAACCCTTCAAGTGTGAGGTTTGAGATCCCTTTTTCAGTGCTGTGGGAGTTTTTAAGAGTTGTAAGAAATGACTATGGTGATGAAATCCAACTTTTCTAGCCTTCCTTAATACAAGAAGGATCCCAGTCATTGCAGCTTTTGCCTTTGTTGCATGTCTGTTGTATTAAAAATCCTATTTTACAGTAGTCCATCAAAAACAGATGTTGGTTTGATTGAGCACTGCCTCCTCCAGAAGTGATTTTTTAAAATTTTTTTTAGAAGATTGATCAAGTGTGTCCACCGTGTGCCATTTCAGAGCTGCAGCGAGCGCTTCCAGTACAAATACCAGCTGCGTTCGCACATGAGCATCCACATCGGACACAAGCAGTTCATGTGTCAGTGGTGCGGAAAGGACTTCAACATGAAGCAATACTTTGACGAGCATATGAAGACGCACACTGGTAAGTCACCTTTTCCACACTTTTAAAGTTTTTATTGTATGTGGAGCTATTTCATAGTTTGGGGAAGAATTACATGTATACTCTTGTCAACAATTGTCAGTTTTTCCCACATTGTATGTATGAAATGACACAATATATCGAAACACGCTTGACAGTAAATACTAATTAGACTCATTGGGCATTTCTTCAAGTCATCTAAGGGTTTAAACCTTAATGCAATGTTTAAGATCCATGACACAGCTGTGGTGTCCTTTATCCTTCAGGAGAGAAGCCGTACATCTGTGAGATCTGTGGGAAGAGCTTCACGAGTCGGCCCAACATGAAGCGCCACCGCCGCACCCACACCGGAGAGAAGCCATACCCCTGCGAGGTGTGCGGTCAGCGCTTCCGCTTCTCCAACATGCTCAAGGCCCACAGGGAGAAGTGCTTTCACGTCACCAACCCCATGGTGGTCCCAAACGGCGGCGACCCCCTCGGCCTCAACCTGCCCCTCGTCTCTCCTGCCGCGGACTCTTCCGGTCCGGCACAGCTGGGAACGCCGGCCTCCGCCGCCACGCCCTCCGCCGCCTCCAGCCCACAGCTCCTCCACAGCACCCAGCTGTCTCTCTCCCTGCTGCACCCCATGGGGGGGCTGGCTGCTGCCTCACATTTACCCCCACCGCCTCCCTTGTTCTCTGCTGGTAGGATGAACTCCAACAACTAACAAAATTTCTGTAGCATTTAAAGCACTTTGTTTGGCATCTCCTTGTTTAAGAGCAGACTCGCAGCGGGAGATTGACATTTACACGGAAGACAAAACTGAAAACATATAAAAAAAAGGCTAAACATAGACCTCGTAACAGACTCCTTCATCTGCATAAATAAGAAATAGTTATTTTTTACTCAGCTGAATACAGTATATAACCTCAAAGTCCTCTCCGACTTCTCCCATCATTTTTACACCACACTTATAAATCCAGAGTTTTGCACAACAAATAGATTGTAACATCCTTTACCAAATAACTGTTACACATGCTGATAAAGGATGAGAGTAAAATATTTTTTGTTCTCTGCCAGGATGTAGCGACCAGTTCCAGTCTGACCCAGCAATAACCAAACGCTCATTTTGACTTTGAACATGTACCTGTTTGTGACGTCACCAATAACCAAACCCTGTAGCTCCCTTGCTATGGATAAGTAATGTAATATAGCATTAATAATCGATCCTGCACCTTACATTTGCCTTCTGTGACATTTAATATGTATTCCTGTTTTTTTTTTTTTTTTCTGGTTGTGGTCATGGCTTCGGTTTCAAAGGACATTAGAGAGGCTACAATGTGTGTAGTGGAGTGAGTGTGTGTGTGTTTTTTTTTTTTTTTGTTTTTTGTTTTGTCTGTGCTGGGGTGATAGAGGGATCTGTGAAGCAGAGACTGGAATTGAGTCTTCAGAACAACAAATTCACACTTGAGCTTCCACAAAGTCAGCAGAAGAAGATATCCACGACTCTTATGTTTGGCTTCCATTAACCATCCCAACTCTCTTACAGGTCTGACTATTTATGTACACTGTCTTGCAAAACCATTCACTCCTCTTGAACCTTTTTTTTTTCTTTTTTTTCACATTTTGTGTTGCAACCACAAATGTTAATATATGTTTTTCGCTTATTTGATACTTCCAACACCAAGTAGCGCGCAAGTGTGACGTAGAATGAAAATGATGCATGGATTTTCTCGGTTTTATTACTTTTACAAAAAGTGTGTTTCCTTACTGAAAGCCTTGTTCAAGCACCTCTGAGTGTGGTTTCAGCTGAAAGTCTTCTTTAGTTTGTCTTCATCAGCTTTTCACCTCTAGAGACGGTAATTTTGTTCGTTTTTCTTTGCAAAAAAGCTCAAGCTCAGTCGGATTGGGAGGAGAGTGTCTGTTAACTTTACATGGCTTCCTCTTTTCACTCTTCAATGAGACCGTATTTTTTGAGTGCAAGACTATTAGTTCTGAGGTCAGCAGAATCCACCACCTGAGTTGTGGCTCTCTGCAGCTCCTCCAGAGCCTTCGCTCTTGGCTGCTTCTCTGATTAATGCTCTCATCGCCTGGTCTGTCAGATTAGTGTCTCAGTAGATTTGTAGATAGTGGTTGTGAAAGCAATCGGTTGCACTGGATTTTATTTAGAGGCGTCAGAGTGAAAGGACCTACATAGAAAAACATGCCACACTTTTCAGATTTTTGCTTGTAAAAAAAAACAAACAAAAAAAAAAAACTGTTTTTGGTCTATCACTATAAATCAGCAATAAAATATGATGCAGTTTGCTGCTATGTTGTGACGATTCATGATAAAGTTCAATACTTCTGCAAGCCACTGTGTATATATAGTCAGAGGTGTAAGACAATGGGCATTTTCTGTCACTGCTAATATACTAGGTCCAAAACCTCATGTACTCAAACAGTATATCCGTGCTTGTATATCAAATTGTAATGTTATTGGTAACGTTGATTCTTTCAGAATGGAAATTCAGAGAAGTTTGCTCGCAAAACTAAATGTGTGTATTTAATCTATAGAGGATTTAACACAGAAATGATCAAATCCCAGAAACAACAACCCAAAGCCTAAGTCTACTAAATGACAATAGCTGTATATATTTTGTTAAACAATCATTTGTAGCTGCAAATTAAAGTTATTGACTTGCAGACAATACATTATTAATAAAGTAAAGATTATTATTAAGATTGCTAAAGGGATAGTTTTAAAGTATATAGAGAAGTGTTTTTTTTTTGCTTCTTACTCAGTTTAAGTTAGAAAGTTGACATCACTCAAAGAAATATTGATCATTTTTCTTACTTGATGTTAACTGGTACATCATTTCTAATTAAGCTCTTGTATTAATTTCTTACTACTTATATATATTTGGGAATGCCGAATAATCTCCAGTTCTATTCAGTGCCTACATCTGGAAGGTTTTCTGAAGCATGAGAGTAAATTTCTCCTACACTATGCTAGTTTGTTAGCTTCCCCGTGTTAAACATGCTAAAATTTCTCATCTATGTGATATATTGACGGAGTTCTCTAAAAATTGAAATGTGTCACGACCTTTTTCACAGTGTAGGAAAAACTCTAGCTCGGCCTCTTGGCTATCCAGATTTATTTTTTGCAAGCAGTAAAGTTTTGGAAAAGCTCTTCCGATTTCTGCGAAGGTTCGTTTCTGCAGTTTTTGAACCCAGATTTTCCATTCCGAAAACAAAATTGTTCGTAAACTGAATCATGCACGGAACAGCAATTACATTACTTTAGTTGTTGATGAACAGTTGTTTCCTATCTTGCAATATATTTTGGGATATCATAAAGTGTATTTATGTGGGTCTAAATATGAGGAAATGAAAGGCTTGGGGTGGAATATCAAGTTTTGTCATGTCTGTGAAGTTTGTGCGCTGTTGACGCGCTCTTGTTCTGAAAAATGAATGTGTATTGGGATCAAAGGTGTGGATTTCACTGTTCTGCTGCGTCAGGATGGAGTATGTTACTTTTGCTGTGATGTCACCCTGTCAGGGTTTTTTTTTTGTTATTATTTTTGTTTTAACCCCCAGAAGAATCGGTTGTCCAGCTTGGGATGAGCTGAAAACCCTAAACATAGCCAAGTTGTTAAATATATGTATAAATAGGATTAAGTAGTAAAATTTTATTCTGCAAACAGTTGAAGCCACTTTAATCATTCGGTACGCTAAAGTGATTGAATCTTCTGAGTTTGTATAGAATGTCAGAATAACGAAGCATGAGATCAAGAGATGTTAATGTCCGATAGTTGCTGCGTAATTGTGTATGTGCAGCAATTTTGCATATGTGCAATATTAATATGTGGACTTTCAGAGTTGTGACACTTAAGCCCAAAAAACATCCATCACAGCTTGGATCAGAGATCAAATCATGCATGCTATGGTATCAGATGCTTAGACAAACAAAACCAGAATTTTCTTTCTTTTTTTTTTTCCATCTATAATACCAGCTCCTCCTACGTCAATAAAATGCAAGCCTATCTGAAGCTACATAAAGGTGAAGCTATATGGAGCTTAGCCAATTTTCACCTGTGCGTTAACATTGATGAGAGCTTTCCATTTGCTTGAGTTAGCAGGTTTTAGTGGCATTGAGCAAATCGTAAGACTGAAAGCTTTAAGTGGAATAAGAATTGACCCCATAAAGTTTCAGTGTCACAATTGGCAAGCGTCTGAGTTCAGTTATAATGCACTCTTACTCACTTTAGCTATACGCTGTGGCACTGTAGTCTTAGTGTTGCTCTCCCCTGTATATACTGTTCAGATGTGGATGTACATGGTTTTTCTTTTTCTTTTTTTTTTTTAATGTTTACACAGAGAGAGCTGAATGTTTTCAGGTTGGTACGACGGAAAGACGATTTTAAAAAAATGTTTTCTGCCTATGTTTTTTTTCTTTTTTTTTTAAATTCAGAAACAAAACTGAGTCTTTTTGGTAAAATATCACATCAGCCCAAGATTTGTGTCTTTCATAAGCCAACATTAGGAAATAATAATAATAAATAATGGTACTAATAGGTATTTTTCTCGAACCTACATAAAAGAACCACAGACAACGTATATGAATTTTATGACCAAGCTTTTGCAAAAGGAAGAGACTCCGCCAACTGCTCCTCCGAGCCGTTCACAGAGCGTTCTGGTCTGCTTCCGCGTGAGCCCCTGTTTTATTGTCAAAGCAAAACAGCCACAGGGAGCAGCCAGGAAAAACAACAGAGGTCGTAAAACTTTTAACCCAAACAACTAGCAACCCAGTTCCAGGTGTGATATTTGATCTACGGTCTGAGCCCGGTTCAAATCTCGGTCAAACTGTCAACAAAGAAGAGGGAGGATAAACATAAGACAAAATACGACTCCACAGGCAGTTCCTAAGTTAGGAGGTATTCCGGTTGATAAGAATTTAAGGTCTGGGAAACACAGAGTTAACTGTCTCACATGAAGATGAACAGACAGTCGTGACCTCCAGGTCAGTTCATACACACATAAGGAAGAGAATACTTTAAACAGAAAATCACAACGATCTATAGACTGAATATGAACTAAAGTAATAACAAAATGATAATACCAACAAATCTCTAACAAATAATAACATATTTGGACATTATTTAAATAATGGTACTTTTTTTTTAATCTTCCTGCAAAATACTCATCCATTTTGTTTGTTTGTTTTTTCCATTTTGATTTGTTTATTTTGTACTGGGTTTAGTCTAAGACTGCCCCTTTAAAATTAGAGCTTCTATATTGTAATTTAACTCAATTATATTCTGGCTGTAATAAGATCCAGTTCAACCTTAGTGGACAATTAGCTTGAATTTTGCAAAAAGAAAAAGCAAAGCGTCTATCAGTTTAAAAGTTGAAATGAACTTTTCTGTCTTTGAATAAAATTAGCCAAAACAATTGTTTTCTTTTTCTTCTTAAAACTAAATGTGTCACGTAAAATGTCTATATTCATGTCGACTACCAAGCATTCAGTAGGAAAATAAATTGTATAATCTTTAAAGTTATACATCTTAATATATACAGTGTCTTGTAAAAGTATCCATAGTCCATTTTGTCATGTTACAACCACAAACTTTTTGTATTTAAATAGGATTTTACTTTGGTAATAGGTCGACATGCAAGCCAAAAAGTTCAAATTCAGTCACAACTGACTCGAGCAGCTTCCTTCATGCTCACTGCCTTCATGGCATGTGACAAGTTGCAAACTGAACTGTTTATGGCTTTCTTTCAACAATGTTTCTTTTTTTTTTTTTCTTATCAAACTGACGAAGTGCATGACTAGTACTGTCAATAGATTCCTCAAGCTGAGCTGTCGATCTCTGCAGCTTCACCATGTTTACCATGGGTGTCTTCTCTGATTAATACTTTAGTCACAGAAAAGCTTTATTTAAAAGGTAAAACTGGTTGAACTGGATTTTATCTAGAGGTTTCAGAACAAAGGGGTCAGATTGCAAATACACACAGCGCACTGAGACATAAAATCAAAATAAAGGTATTGAGGTTTTTGGTTGTAACATGACAAAATGTGAAAAAATATTTGGAGTTTATACAAATGTGGAGCAGCGTTTTGTGGCCACTGACTGTTAAGTACTGCTTCTCTGTTGTTGCTGTTTATTACATCACAATCTGTCTGCAGACTTTACTAAGATCTTCTGAAAGCTGAGAACATTCTCTCGTTTCTGCTATAGATGCGCCATCTACCGCAAGAGTCATCACTGACATACTGTTTGTCTGTTTGCCTTACAAATGGTGGGATTTCCACATTTTTTTGTGTGTGTTAAGCATAGTAACTACAGCTGACAGATAAATTGTGATGAACACTACTGATTTATGCACTTTGAATTCCTTTGCCACACTTTGCCAACGAAGGGGGCATGTATGCAGACACAGGGTGAAAACAAGTTGCAGAAATTTGTAAAGATGGAAATACATACATCCTTCGCAGTTCTTTTTTAAGTGTAGATAATTTTGATTTCTAAATGCACAAAGGATAAATTGACACGAATGGGTATTAAAGTCTTAAAAGTCAAGTGTTTCAGACGAGGTTAAGTCTAGTTTATTTGTGATGTTGCCATCCAATAAGGTAAAAAGTAAGAAGAGTTCAGTTCAGTTAAGATGGTTGGTTAGTTTATTTTTATTATTAAGGAAAAATAACCTGATGCAATTTACCTTAAGATTAAAAAAAACAGCCTAAACATGAGTTTATTTTTATGTAAGTTGCCTAATTGAGTAATGGGAATTATATTAATTCTAACAGCACTTTATTATTTTCTTCTTCAGCTCCATAGAGTTTTAAAGCTGACGTAGTAGCACTTATTCCACATAAAAACCTGATACAGTGTGTGTGCGCACATGTGTGTCTTTATACCAAAAGATTATAGGAAATAAGAAAAATTCTTCTTGAATTAAATGTGTCCTTGGCAGGTTCCTCAGACACAGAATTTTAACAAAACTGGTTTTGAAGTACATCCCACAATACTTACTTGGAATGGGATCAAGAAATGAGATTGGAGTAATTAAAAACCTCTTGAAATAATATAAATCCATCAAACTGCATTCTATCTTTCATGTTGGAAGTGAATGATATAATGTGACAGCAGTTTTATGGCCTCGTTGGAAAATGTGTTGGGGAAAACTGTGGAGAAAGGCTAAAATGTCTTAAAAAAAAAAAAGTTCCCTTCTCACCCTCCGCGGGTGGTCTCTCTTTCATCCTCTGAGCTCGGGTCCTCTACCAGAGGCCTGGGAGCTTGAGGGTTCTGCGCAGTATCTTGGCTGTGCCTAGAACTGCACATTTCTGGACTGAGATGTCTGATGTTGTTCCTGGGATCTGTTTGAGCCACTGCTCCAGTTGGGGGCTGACTGCCCCGAGGGCCCCGATGACCACAGGCACCACTGTGGTCTTCACCTTCCAGGCCTTCTCCAGTTCCTCTCTGAGGCCCTGGTATTTCTCCATTTTCTCGTGTCCGGTTGGTTCGCCATTACCATCTTGTCTGTCTGGATCTGGAAGTCCCACAGGATCTTAGCTCGGTCATTCTCCACCACCTTTGGGGGTGTCCCCCATTTTGACCTCGGGGCTTCCAGTCCATATTCTGCACAGATGTTCCTGTACACTATGCCCGCCACTTGGTTATGTCGTTCCATGTACGCTTTCCCTGCCAGCATCTTGCACCCTGCTGTTATGTGCTGGACTGTCTCATTCAAGCAATTCTATCTGTTCCTTATTCCCTACTTGTAACTTATGCTGAAGATATCCAAAGTATGAAGGAAAACGAAAAATGTTTCATATTTTAGATTTTTTTTTTAAAGTTATCACCTTTCGCTTTGATGGCATTTATTCCACAGTGCAATTTCTCAATTCGTTAGGTTTTCTCCTGAACTGGTTTTAATCCGTTACATCAGAAATCTCTCAACTAAGTAAAGGGAAAGTATTGTCCATTGTTACTTGAAGACGTCAACATCAGAAAATCCGAAAAATGTCGAGTATCGTTGCAAAGGCCATCAAACGCTGATGAAACTTGTTCTCAAAAGGAATCCCTGTGAGGAATGGAAGACCAATAGGTTGCCTTTATCCAAGGGTTGACTTCTATATGCATGGTTCACACTGTAAACCAGTTTTTCCTTCATAATTTGGATATTTTCTGTATTAATCCACAATGTAAAAAAAAAAAAAAAAAGTGAGGAAGAACTCTGAAATTTGAAGATTTTGCTGGCTCATATATTACCCTAGAGATCTACTGTTCTGCTCGTTTTAGATTCAACCTTTGTCCAACACACTTGAATCAAATTAATGGCTCATTACCAGGTCATTGCCAAACGTGATGGCATGCTTAAGAGGTAATTTAAGAATTTGATGCAGGTGCTTGAGCAGGGTTGCATCTAAAAAATACAGGATGGTCGATCTCAAGTACTAGAGTTGGAGACCCGTTCCCCAGAGCCATCAAATATGGAAAAGAAATCAAAGAAATACTTCTGGCTCTTTTGCTGTTTGTTCTCTTTAGTGGTTCATCATTAGCTCAACACAACCTGTGACATAAATGCATCATCGAACTTGGTGCTGTTGCAGTTTACTTTTGACATTTCTCTCACAAGAGCATTGAAAGTAAACACAAATGCCAAAAATGTTTAGGGAATTATGCAACTGTTGCATCCTTGTTCAGAATTGAGGGCTTTTGCTTCCATTTATTTTGGGGTGAATGCTGGGATGAAGAGGAAAGGAGGCACATTATAAATGTGTTTTTGGAGGGAGTGTGTCTTGTTTTGTGTTAAAGCTACCCATGAAATGGGATTTTTTTTATTTTTGTGTGTTTTGGATTTTGCAGCTGTGGGTCATTTCCCCCTTCCACTGATTTATTCCTCCATTTTGTATGATTTCCTGTTTTCTGCCTGTAAACATTACCTTGACCAACCCACAGTTGGTCAATGTAATGCCAATAAAATATGGAAAATAAAGACCAAAAATAATTGTAATTGACCTATTAATTATGGATATTTTTCCTAGTAAAGTCATAAAATGGCTTCTTCTTACATAAGACCGGAGGAAGAATGATAGGTACTTTTCCTCGAACCTATATAAAAAGACCACAGACAACGTATATGAATTTCATAGACAAAGCTTTTGCAAAAGAACTCTCCATCAACAACCTCATCAGCCGTTCACAGAGAATTCTGATCTCCTTCCACGCGAGCCCCTGTTTTATTGTCAAGCAGAACAGCCAGAAAAAAACAACAGAGGTCGTAAAACATTTAACCTAAACAAACCAGCAACTCAGTTCCAGGTGTGATATCTGATCTACGATCTGAGCCCAGTTCAGCTCTAGGTCAAACTGTCAACAAAGAGGGAGGATAAACAAGAGACAAAATACGACTGCTCACAGGCAGTTAGGAGGTATTCTGGTTGATAAGAATTAAGGTCTGGGAAACACAGAGTTACCTGTCTCCCACGAAGATGAAACAGTCAGTCGTAACCTCCAGGTCAGTTTATACACACATAAGGAAGAAACACTTTCACAATAACATTAGACTGAAAGTAATAACAAAATGATAATACCAAAAATCTCTATCAAAGAATTTAGAAAATGTTACCAAATTTAATACAGGAACAAAATATCACCCCATATGACATAAATGCACATGGTTGGTATGAAACATCTCATGGCAGGGATAACATGTTACCCAGAAAAATGTGAATGAACGATCAAAACTACTAAACCGAGAAAGGGGAAAATGACCAGTGCCTGGGTCAGCTGCTAAAAAAATGTGTCCAAAAACTATTTGATTTTGTGGCCTTGCTTAGAAAAGGGCCGCGTCTAAAGTCATTACGAAAACTCTTGTTGGATGTTGAAGAAAAAGTATTGTACGAAAGAATCTAGTGGTTTATTGTGGTCTGTTTGCTCATCTTTTTTCTGTGTTTATGCACATTTTTTGTTAGTTTTTTAAATGACTATTTTCTCTATATTTGTTCAAATATCTGGAGCCTCAAAACTGATTAAACTGAGTTGGCTATTGAATTAAGAAAGAGATTACACAAACGTAATAATTTCTACGTTTGCTGTTGGTATTTGTCTTTCAGCCTTTTTGTCTGCCTTAACCTATCATATTTACAGTTCTTATATACTATGTATAATATAGAAATTAGTCTTGTATTATAATTAAAATTATACTATTCAATTATAGTAGAAGAATGACTTCTATTATAATAAAATATATTTAGAATTAAATCAGTGAAGAGGCAAAATTATACATATTAAAATGACTTTAATACTACATGATATGTAGATTAAAAGGGAAAAAAATATGCTAATAAATTCGATTTGACATCATTTAGAATCACAATCAAAATTTGCTAATAATAATACATGTAATTTCTGTTGTAATTTCCCAATGATTGGTAGAAAAAAAAGCTAAAATTAGGTAAAAAGCGATATAACAAAAACAAAGCCTTAGTTTTAATGTGATTGTGCACTTAAATCTAGCTAAACACTCCTGAATGTCAGCAGTGGTAAATGCTAATTTTGTTCATTGGCTTCTTAGCTGAAATGTTGCCAGCAGTGCTAATGTTAGCGCTGCAGCAGTTCAGAAGGATACAGCTGGACAGTACTTGTAATATTTTAATAGCTTTTTATACTTTCATGTTTTGTCATTAATCAGTGAGGACAAGATGAGACACTTTCATACTTTCTAACAGGCCTGATCAAAATCAAAATGCATATGCATGATTTTTTTTTGGATCATGTTCAAAAAGAGAGAAGAGATTTAGTTTTGTCAGCTTTGGAGCTCCTTTGGCAACTACAATTTTTTAGTTTTTCTTTTTTTTTTTTTACATGAAAACCTTTGATTAGCTGCTTTAAGATTGTATATCTCATCCAAACCCTTCATTGCCCCTCAGCCAATACCACCATATTTAAATCTATATATACCTTCAAGTGTATTTCCACTACTTATTGCTACCACAGCATTGAGAAATCATGAAATGTATTATTAATTGGTGATTCTCTGCTCTATAATGTTAACAGTACAATATGCATTGGTTGATTCTGGTACTCACAACCCATGTGTAGACAGTAGTTGTCCCATTCAGCTATAATAACACAAAAACAGTACAAGGACATTAGAGTCTAGAGGTGCTAAAGACAGTAGGCTGTATTTTTTTGTTGTTGTTCCTTTATTGTAATATTGACAAGTGTTAACTGTCTGTAACACAGTAGAGCATTATGAAATCATTTCAATATTAAACAATATAGATATTATTGAATATCTGCATGTCTTGTGTTTGTTCTTATGCATACTCGACTGTGCATTGTGTTTTATTGCTTGTTGAAAGAAGCAGGGATTTTGACTTTGCTGCCCTCTGTTGGGCAGTAAACATATGTGTCAAGGAAGGCTTTAGCTTGGTTGTATCATTTTTATTCAGTTCAGTGAAACAATATAGATTCTGCTGATATAAATGTTCAAATCACTGCCCATTACTTGCAAAAATGCATACAAAAATTTCATTGCAGGAAAAAAAATCATTATTATACCACAGTGCTGGTTAGAAACTCTGTGTGGAAAAATCAAGTGAACATGTTACTACTAATCTTTCATTAAATCCTAATGTCTTTGAAAATGAGTGTGCCCCGGAAAAGTGTAAAAACGGTGCAATTATTTCCAAGTCAATTTCCATTGCAATTCAGGAACTGTGGAGAGCTTCACATCTTGGTGAGACGCAGGGTGTTCAAGCGGACCCCCAGTACTGTGGCCCCAGAGGCATACTGAATTTCTCTGAGAATCCCGTTCCACTTCCCCTCCGTCTCATTATACCTGCGAAGGTTTAATAGAAGAGTCAAGTTGGCTTGAGTGACATCCTTAATTGCTAAACAGAGAACCATACTTCTGGTACTGAGCTCGTCTCAGTTTCCAGATTTCATTTAAGGGCAATTCTCAATTATTTTTGCAGGACAGAAGAATTTAAAGAATTATATATTGAGAGAAGCTGCACCTCCAAATGTCATTCGTCTCTTTGGGAAGGATTTCATCACTGTCTTCTAAAGGCATCATGGCAAAACCTCCCACGGCGTAGAGCGAACCAGCCAAAGATACAAGACTTGGAGAGCTTCGCTCCTGAGGAAATGGCTCGAAATCTGACCACCTGCAATATGAAAATAGCAGACATACATAAATAAACTCACAGTTAAAATGGCTGTTTAAGAAAAAAAAAAAACAGCTGGGATTAAGTTGTTTTAGATGAAACTGACTTAGAAGCTTTATAAAAAACAAAAGTCCCCTTTGTTTTTGGTGAAAATAGTCAGTTCAAATCGAATCACACCTGCTGCATTTCATACAGAAATATGTACTTAAGGTGGTCCCCATTAAAACTGCTAAAAGTTTTTATACAAAATATTTTACAACTAATTTCAAGCCAATGATAAAAATGTTTTTTTTTGTCTATATATAAATGATTGAGTGAATGTGTGAATGGATAAATGACTGCGTTTAGAGTCCTCAGACTTGATAAGGCGCGAGCTGTACAAGTGTAGGCCATTTACCAATAAGGACCCCTGCTAAACCAACATGCATATATAAATATTAGTCATTTTGTCTTATCTTTAAGCAATATTTAATTCAACATATTTTATAAACAGATATTTTATATGTTTTAAAGAGAAATAGGGCTTTATTAGTCTGCTGAAAATGAACCAGTGAACCAGATAACAAGGCCTATTTTAAGCATCTGAATTGCAACCTGAAGAAATAAACAATAATAAAAAAAAAAAAACAGGTTTTAAATAATGACTGGAGGAAGGAGGAAGGAGTTCTCCAAACCAATCTGGCCATGATGTAGTTGTTCCCTAAAGCTAATAATTGGTTCTGCCACCCGTGGCGGCAGCAGCTGTCAACAATGTTTTATATTTTAATCATAAATTGTCTGTTTAAGGTTCTCCAGCAGTTTCTTAGTTGGCTTTTGGACTCGGTGCAGAACTCACGTGTTGGTAGCGATGTCGTACACCTCCACTGTGTCGGTCAGGCCGACGTCGGTCACTCCTCCCGCTACATATATTTTGTCTTGATGAAGAGTGGCTCCGAATAAGGAGCGTGCCGTCTTCATTGGGGCGAGCTCTTTCCATTCGAACCTCTTGACATCGTATGAACACATCCTCTTCAGACAGTTCCTTTTTTAACATATGACAGCACCGTAAGGTTTCCTGTGTTACTTTGATGTGGTGATTGTAACATGCCGACTGGAGCGTATACTCACTTGTTGTCTCCCTTCCCTCCTATCACATACACGACATCTTGGTGTGATACGGTTGAATGTCCATAAACCGGGTAAGGAATTGACTCGGACTCACCCCATTTGAACGATCTGTGAATAGTCAATCACAGAAGCAAGTGAAAACAGGTTGTTTTGAAAGATCAGAGCAAGAAATTCTTTTAATTGCAACTTACTGCCTGTCATAGACCAAAACTGTATCCAGTGTGCCCTCCTTGTCTTTCAGTTCCTTCCCTCCCAGAACGAAGATGGAGTTCTCACCTTCGGCCATCCCAAACAAGAACCTCGGAGTCGGGAGGGGAGGCATCCCGAGCCAGTCGGTACTAACGGGATCATACTGTGGTCACAGAAATATTTACAAATTAGCTCTGCAGTTAAAAGTAGAGGCTGGTGGTTTTGCTTCTTGGCCACCTTGTACATTTCCTTTCCTTTTGATCATTTTGTAATCAACTTTCTCTAATCTTATGCTACTCTAGTAAATAACATCCACTCTCTGGACCTTCATATTTCATGAATCATATTCCCCAAACACACATCAGAAATAAAATAAAAATTGGATTTAATACAACATTCTTAGAAAATAAAAAAGTTAAATTATACATGGGATTTGGGGATTTTTATAGCTATTTCTTTTTCCATAACTCATGAAAATACTTAGCTGCAAAGAATAGTGAACTAATGGTTTAAATGGATAGGCGTGAAAGAATTTGTTTACTGGTACAAAATAGAAATAGATAATTGGTAGATAAAAAGGAATGATTTGGCCAGGAGCTGCTAAAGGTGTGAACTGTAAACAAGCTTGAAGAAAGTAATAAAGCTCTGATTGTTTTCCTAAAGAATAGAAATAACTTTAGTAATCCTAACTAATCTCAGACTGTCTTTTTATATTGTGTATGTTAATATCTGGTCTCAACTTTATGGTGAACCTTCATAATTTTATGATGACATCATTTAACGGTAAGATTCAAAATGTTTTTTTGTAATAGTTTTTTTTCCCCCTCAAATTAATCAGATTCCAGATGTAACTTTATAATGTCTTTTTAGAACAGCATTCATACCTGCAGGAAGTAGGAGCACAGAGGGTCCTCCTTGTTCTCTTCATCAACAAATAATCCTCCAATCACAAAGATCTGGTTCTCCTTGGTGACCAGGCTGACGTGGTTCTTGGGAACCTGGGTGGAAACCGACGCCATGAAGCAGTCGTTGCCTGACGGGTCGTACCCCACGGCGCCGGTGTCGTTCACCATCAGTATTAGGTCCTTGACAAACATCCCAAATCGCAGGTTATCATTTAGAATAGCCGGTAGAAGATTTTCTTCGTCCTCTTTGTCTTCAGTTTCTCCATCTTTCGCTGCCCCTCCGTCTTCCGTTTTGGTCTTTTTAATCTCTGGCATTTTCCCCCCTCGAGCATCCTTGACCAGCTTCAGCTTCTGCTGAAGCTCTGGATTAGCAGAGATGAGTTGGTGTTTCTCCACCTTTTCTGTCAGGTAATCATCCGTGACGAGACGCAGACGAACACAGTCCAGCAAATCGGGGAGTTCCTTCTCTCTGCTCTCGGTGTCCCGGCACACCCATCGCATCAGAGCCTCGAAAACAACCTCCTCCGTCTCCACGTTCAAATTGTCATTCGCCAAAATGGCTGCCACCTCGGTCGCGTTAAGCTGGAGGAAGTCTTCGTCTTTGGAGATGAGCTGGAAACGCTCACAGGCATAGTTCCGGGCGGAGACGGCCAGCCTGGGACAGTCCAGCATCAAACCGAGCCTGAAGATGGCCAGGCAATTGCTGAGGCTGAGGCGCTTTTGCAAGAAAGACACGCAAACAGTGAAAATGGAAGGAATCTGGTACATGTTGGCAACGGCAAAGATGTCTTGGACGTTCTGCTCTGTGATGTTGATCTTCGAGGTGTACAGGTACTTGAGGATCAGACCGATGACACCGGGCTCGACGTCCTCCAGCACAATTTCTCTCTTTTTGCTTTCATCCAGGTCAGACAAAAAGATGGACCGGAAGTATGAGCTGCAGGCACACAGCACCAGCCGGTGACAAGGGAACTCCTTGTCTTTGATCTTCAGGACGCAGTCCACCAGCTTGTCGTTCTCCAGCAAATCATACAGGCCATCCTGGAGGAGAGTCTGCTGGTACAACCTGGGCTCATCCATGGGATTTATAGGCACAGCCATCTGAGAAGTCTTTAAGATGATACGGATAAAGTAGAATCGGATCCTCTTTATTGCAGAGAATTTGGCTTTCTAGTCTGGAGTGGCTTTACATGAACGGCGACCCTGCTCACCGGCTGAATCCTGGGACGGCCCGCTTTCTCAGCTGTCATGACCCTTCAACTGAGCTCCAACTGGAGGGTTATTTTTAGAGTGCTTGCTTGCTTTAGAGCTATGGGGGCTTTATTCTGGAACATTGCTGGAAATGCTATAACCCTGCCTCTGTCCGGCTTTCTTGCCTCCCACTCACCCACTCCCCTGGATAATCCGCCCACTCTCAAACAGCTGAGGCATATCTCACTGGAAGAATTTCCAATATAGCAAACTGTGATACTTTGCGAGGCCTCTGTGACCAATTCAACCTAGCTATGTTGTCATTGAGGTTGAATGTTATCCCAACTATCTCAACTGTGGTTGAAATTCAAGGCTGGGTTTAATTTGCCAAGAACAATTTAAGGGGAGGAAAGGTACCTTCTAAAGCGGCGTCCAAATTCAGAACTCTTGACGTCTTCGGTCCAAAGCTGATCTCTTGACAAATTAAATGTTGTATAACGAGTCCTGCAAACGAAATGTTCTGTATGTTCATCTTTAATGATGCTGAAACCGGAACCCGAACAAGTGAAACGACCCATACACCAACCATTAAGATAGTCCCTGTTGCTCAAGATGGTTCTTGATCTCGAGTGAGAGTGCACTACCTATGAGGTACCCAAATGGGGCTGGAACCAATCGTGGTGGGCCCGCGGCCTCAAAGAGTGAAATCGCTCAAAACCCAGATTTTACACAGTCCCAACAGATTTGCACAAGAGGTACCAGTCATTCTGGGTGCTCCAATTCATCTCAATGCTATCTTCCCTAAAATCCTGGAGAGACTTGTGATTTTTGTTGGTTTTAGTTATCCGGAAAGTCACAGGAAGAGTATACATCGTTTTAAGGAGCCGCTCATGGCATCTGTTATCACCTCAAAAAATAATTCACTGTGAGAATCCACTTAAGTGTTTATGGTAGAACCTTTTTAAAATCAAATGTTACTTTTTTTATACTGCTAGCCCATTTTTGGTTTATGTTCTAGAACCCCTGTCCCAGTCTCAATCTTTACCTATGTGTGTGTTTCATTTAGCCATTTCTATTGGCGTTGGTGGCGATGGCAGTGTAGGAGTTCGTCACATAATCACTCGGTGTTGCTGGTTTGAGGCCCCGCTTTGTCCGTCTTTGTGTCCAAGACACTTCACTCACTTTGCCTGCTGGTGGTGGTCACAGAACGCTTTACTTCTGCCAGACTTCTACAGGGCAGCTGTGGCTGTAATGCAGTAGCTTTCACTATGCTGGGTGCTTTGGGGTCCTCTAGACTTTAGAAAGCACTTTGCAAGTACATGCTACTTACCATTTAATTTATATGAAACGTATTATTCTGCTGGACGATGAACCTTTGCCCCAGTCTCAACTCTTTTAAAGCTTCCAGCAAGTTTGTGTTTTGCATAGGTCAAAACATTTGATTTTGCCCTCATCTCACCCGAGCACCTTCCTACACATTTTTGCTGGATCCTCTACACATCTTCTGGCTAAATGGTGACAACAGAAGGTTTTTTGTAGTCCCTCTGGTCCTTGGCGTCAACCGTCCTGCATGTATTTGATGTTTCTGCACTCCAGCATAGCTGATTCAATCTGATTGTATTCTCTTCTCCAATTGTTACAGAAGCGTGTTAACCAACCATTCAAATTAAGCCAGGTGTGCAGCAGCAGGGTCCTCTGCTTTTAATGTCAAGGTCCTTTTTGCTGCTTTACCTTATAACTCAGTTTCATGAGGTGCACAAATACATGTTGAAAATATTCTTCATGATCTGTAGATATCTGTTGCTCCCCCAGAAGCTCTCAGCCGTTTCTCTGATTATTGCTCTGGCTAGTTTCTTTACCGACAAGGTATTTCAAAGTCAATGTGATTTCCTGAGTAAAAGTGAGGGTCGTTTGTGCAAAAATCAGCTCAGGCTATAGTGTATTCTAGTAAAAGATGGTGGGAATGTCAGCAGCATATGTTGAAAAACACAACCTCTTTCAAAGAAATCCTTTTTTGTTATTAAAGAAACAACTTTTTAAAGGCCAGTAAAAGCATCGGATGTTTGTTGAAGTGTTTCCATCAAGGGTTTAAGTATAACACTCATGTGGGATTAAAAAGATTTTTATTAACTAGTACTCATTACAAGAAAAATCTTTTCATGTAGACATATAGTCACATACCACGTTTTTCCATAAAGTAAAGTAGTAATTATGAGTGTCAGGGAAGTCGGTGCTTTCTCAGTCAGTAAATGTTTATAACTCCAGGACTGTACAATAAATATGACTTAATGTTTTCCACTAACTATTAATAACCCCTTCCATATAAATACTCAATCTTATTTACAGCCTGTGACTTCCTAGTATCATTAAAAATTCATTTTACAAAAGCTAATTAGGACATAATGAAGCTTTCAATATTCTCGACTAGATGGTCTGTTAGTCTCCGAACCTTTTAGCTGAATGCCAAATTTCTACTCTGCTTTTTCTTTGCTGGAATCAGCCGCTGCCTGTGGAGCAGCAGTGGGTGGACAGGTGGCAGCGGCAGCATTAAGAGGGGCCGCAGGAGGAAGTGGATCAGGGTCGTCGATGAGGGCCTGTCTCCTCTCTCGCTCCTTGATCACTTGAATTAGACAGTAGGTCACAAACATGACAATGATGGTAGTTATAGGGAAACCTGGAGAAAGGAGAAGTTATAAATTCAAAACCGTATAAAAATCACAAAAATCTTTATGCTGCTAAAATAAGAGCTGCACCAAGAAATGAGCTGGTTACTGAATTTGGCCTGAATGTCCTTAAACCACCGCTGATCAAGTAGTGGCTCTCAGAAAGTCCATCAGGGAACACATAGCTAAGAAATGCCAGATTGCACTGATGATGGATGTTGTTACTGTTGAACTCAAAGTTTTGGAATCAGGTGTTTTTGAAAGTAAAGTCGGACGGAAACACAGATTTAGGAAGTTTTTTTTAAAAGGAACATTTTCATTCTTTGGAGGCTTATTAGCCGTTTATTCAGACTGCTACCAAAGAGCAAGATGTCAGAAAGTGCCGGTCAATTTGATCCTTTGCCATTTTGTGGTTTTAGGTCTTCTTACCCATCTGTAAACAAGCACTGACAAATCAGCCTTTGACAAGAATGTCTGACTCAAAAATCAAACATTTTATCAAATTTGTGAATGTACCATACCAGGTACACAAGTATCGCTCTTCTGTGTTGAAGTTATAATTGCTGGAAGAAGACTCATAGAACGACATCTTTTAGGGTTAGTGGGATATTCAGAAATTAAGACAGAGGAAACAGCTCATCTTTTACCGAATGAATGCTGGAAATGGACGACTATGACTCTTGATGGACACATATTTATGCTAGCAGAAGAGAGCAAGACTTTAGAAAGTGTTGGTTGTTTTGCTCCTTTGATGCTTAATACTTTTGTTGTAATTTTGAAAATACACATTTCTGCTGTTATTAACAAAAGCCATATGCCTTAGGAAGTATTTTTACTCAGCTTGCAGATGCGCCATCAAAATTGCAAACCGACCTGGAGTTAACTTCCACAGGTAACAGGAAGGACCACAACACAATTACAGGCTCTGGTTGTCATGGATCGTCCCAGATTTGTAAAATGGGTAGCCATATTTTGTAGGAAAAAATATTTTTAGAATGCTGTCAATTATAGCTTTTATAGAGAAATTGGTATAAGCTAAAATCCCTATTGACAGTTTGAAATCAGGCCTGATCAGTGCATCTCCAAGTAAAACTGAAATCACCTTTCAGAAGCAGTCGCTTGGTGACCAACTTGACAAAATCCAAACTGTTCAGAGCCATAAGGTTGAACAGCACGATGCACCAAAAGTTGAACGTGTTGAAGATTGCTCTTATGCGGCGGGACATTGCTTCTGACATAGCAGCCTGTCAAAAAAAAAAAAAAAAAAAAAGACAGGAACCCCTTCAGATCTGAGAACAAACAAACAAAAGCAGAAGAATAAAACTGCAATAACAAACCTCAAAGGATGCAAATGGCTCAATGGAGAAGGCCTTAGCGGTCCACAGCTCCAAGTTGAGACCAAAACAGTTGAAGAAAGCCCAGACCAGGACGACCTCGCAGGGGCCCAACCAGAGGATGGTGACGCCATAGGTGCAAAGCGTAGCCACCAGCTCCTCCACCACATTCTCATGCTTTCCACCAAGGTAATTATAAATATACCTGAGGACACAAAAACCATCAGCACCTCCTGCATCCAGCTGGACTAATATAATGAATATTCAATAAATCTTACTTGCACAACCAGTCATTAATTCCTCTGTCAAAATGCCTACAAAAAAAAAAAAAAATGTCATCCGGTTTTCAATTTTAACCAAAAGAAGGCGAGCTTTGTATGCAGAGCTTACGTTTCAGAGAACACATAGAGCATAGTGATGCACTTTGGTGGTTTCGGTGGGTCCAGGTGATCCAGTCTGGACACTGTGTTGATGACTCCGAACATGACGGCTGCTTTTATCCAATCGTAGACGAGGTTGACGTAAGCCAGACCCACTGGAGACGTGCAGGTATGTTAGTTTTGTTGCATTTTTGGGCGTGCGGAAAAAAATGTCTTCGCCTCCATGATGGTAGATAAAACTTTAACAATCGCACAAATACTGTGGCACATACCCAAAGCCCAGTCAGAGAGGTGTTTCAGGAGCTTTATGTCAGTGGGGATGGTGAGGATGTACATGAAGTGGAACAGGACATCCACTACGATGACGACTCCCAAATGGATCAAACCCTGCAGGCTGATGTTCCACATTTCCCTTTCTTTTCGGGTCAGGTCAGACTTATTGGCCTGCAGAGGACAGCAAAGACATGACACAACTGGTCTTGTACAATACTGTAGATCAGAGGTCCAACTGTCCTGCATGTTTTAAGCGTTTTCCAGCTGCTGCACACCCAGCTTAAATGAATAGGTGATTTCTGCAGCAGTTGTAGGCATGCAAAGGAGGTAATGCAATCTTTTAAGTCAGCTTTGCTGGAGCAGGGAAACATCGAAAACATGTAGGACAGTGGGCTCTGAGGACCAGGGTGTGGGACCACTGATGTTAGAGATTTTTTTTGGTATTATCATTTTGTCATTACTTTAGTTCATATTCAGTCTAATGTTAATCAACATTCAGTCTAGAGATCATTGTGATTTTCAATTTTAAGTGTTCTCTTCCTTCTGTGTGTATAAACTGACCTGGAGGCCACATCTGCCTGTTCGTCTTCATGTGAAACAGTTAACTGTGTGTTTCCCAGACCTTAAATTATGTTTCTACAGGTGCCTTCTTATCAACCGGAATACTCCCTACCTTAGAAACTGCCTGTGTGCAGTAATATTTTGTCTCTGCTGTCTTCCTTACCTATCCTCCCTCTTTTTGCTTGATAATAAAAGACAAGCTGTAACCAAAGGTCTTTAGGACGCTCAGTGAATGGGTTGGAGGAGCAGTTTGCCGAGTCATCTCCTTTTGCAAAAGCTTGGTCAGAAAACTCATATACGTTGTCTGTGGTTCTTTTATGTAGGTTCAAGAAAAATACCCATTAACTGAACTAGATTCTGACTCCTGAAGGTAGTTGGATACAGTTGACATTAGTTGTGCAAGTGAAAAATGTCAAGCTTTCTGATTTTTATTTTTTTTTAAAAAACATAAGAAAGTCATGAGGCCATTTTTTACGCTTTGCAATTCTCTTTGCAGGGCACTGTAAAAGTCTGAAAATATAATAGATAATATTCACCATGAACAAAATTTTTCTTATATGCAACATGGACACAAACAATAAAAGAAACCAGTGCCACCTAGTGCATGAAATAGGAAATCCTAAAACCTTTAAACAGTTGAATGACTGTGGTCAATTAAAAGAAACTCACTTGCACATAAAATTTGTCAAAGGTCATGATGGGTCCAAAGTAGAAGAAAGGGAGGTAAAAGTTGTACTTGAGCAGCTCCAGGACGCTGTAGTGCCCATCTTTCCGTTCACAGTTTTCCAAAGCAAAACTCACGCAGCGCATGATCGTGAACCCGCAGCCTCCGTAGAAGAGGACATGCCGCAGCTCAAAGTCTCCCTCCACAAAACCTGCCTGCGCGGAAAACGTACAGTGATTCTGCACACCGATAATCAAACGAGGGACTCAGAGTTTGCCAGCTGCTTCACCTGCCAGGACACGAAAGGTTCGCACTTGAACGTGGCGAGGGTGCAGAGACCAGCGACGAAGCAGAGCCAGCGTATTTTCACCAAGGAGATGCTGTAGAGCAGGATGCAGTGGGACAGCATGAGGGAGACGTAGGTCCAACCCATGCTGGTCCATACCGCCAGCAGACCATACACCATGTAAACCAAGGACCTGAACTGTAAGAGACATATTACACAGAAAGGCTAATTTGCATTAGCAGAAAAGGAGTAAATTTTATGTCTACTTTTTTCTTATTTAAAACTCAACAAATGTAGGATAAAATTAACTAATTAAAATCACGTCAATACATCAGTTTTCTTATCCTCTTAGTGATCATGCAGTTGTGATCTGCAGATGCTAACGGATTAAGAATGATAAAAAAAAAAAAAAAAAAAAAGATTTATGGTAAAGTTTAGCAACCTGAGGAGCCAGCATGGAGCAGATCTTGGCAAAGAGCACATGACCAGAAAGGGCGAACAGGATGTGCTCTCTGAAGGTGGAAAACCACATCATCCACTCAAAATCTGCAGTGTCCTGTGGATAGCAACGCAAATAATTAATAATATTCCAATGGCGTTAAATATCACGTCAACACTTACCATTTTTCTCCCAAAGTATCCTGGTTTCACACTGGCCTTAAATGTCTTTCTGTTTACATTGGCTGAAAAACATGACAGCAGGATGGGAGTGAGAGTAAAATATGTTAGTGGCCAAAATAATGAATAATTGCAAATTTATAATTTAATGTCACGGAACTTGGTTTATCATGAGAAAAATATGTTTTGGTTGTTTTGAAATTATACGTGTTCTTATTAGACTTAAACAAAGGGTTCAACACAGAACAGTTTTCTTTTTGTCCTCTGTGATATTAATAGTGACACCCGATCTACTGAGCATGCTCAGCATAGCTCTGACGTTTTAGCCTCACACTGAAAAACTAACATCGTGTATACTGCAGATTCTGTTTTGTTTATATGTAAAGTTACTCTCACCATATTTAAAATTGACTTATTTTTGCATTGTTTTTGGGAAAAAAAATTGTTTATATAATATGTTTAAAACTACTCAATTTCTTAAGTTCTTTATTATAGATTTCCTGCCATATTACCTTTAGTACGTTTTAAACAGTATTGGGCTTTTTGCCTAATTTTTCCCCCTTTTCTTTTAAAGGGAAAACAAAAACAAAGATGAAAAAAAAAGTAAAGAGTCCAGCTAGTTTATATTGCATGCGTTTAAACTAAGCATAGCAGTAAGTCGTGCAAAAATACATCAGCAGCAGCAGTAGTTTATGTCATTTAAGCAAATATAAAGATTTGATTTCATAATATGTGAGAATTAAATACTAAAATAATGTGAAATTAGCACTGATTGGTGTATCTATGTGCCTCCAGTTATACAAGAGCAAGAATGGCAAATTGCATTCTGCTGTGTGGAAAATAATACCGATTGTTACCCCTCAGCACATTTTCAAAAAGCTACAAGTGTCACTTTCCATATTTTTGTAGTCTGATGTCTTTGCAAATAAAACCTAGCACCAGTTTCATTTAAAGGTTATAGTCATTAATAAGATGTGCCAATGAAATATCAAAGAAATATGTGCCAGCAAACACCAATAATATACTGGTGAGTTTTTACATTTTTGTGAAACTAAATGACCGCATGCACAATCTTGACACTTGTAACCACTGTGTGTGTCAGCGTAGGTTATCCTTCTCATTCCATCCCGTCTTCTGTTGGGTTGCAAGAGCTCATCAGTGTACTTACAGTTCGACACTTCAAAGATCCAGCTGGCTGCCCAGAACATGGCCAGACACAGCACGGTGTTGTAGAAGTAGATCTCATACTTAGGAAGTGCAGCTTTGATCCCCATGATGACAATGAGTTTTGGAGGCTAATGAGAACAAATCACAATCAATGCAGCGTGTTACATATTTAGCTTAAACATGACCTCGTTTAATGATATACATAGAACCACAGGGTTTCCCCTCCGTTGCCAAAACTGAAAATCAAAAGGACCTGACAAGTCACTACAGGGCTTTTAACAATTTCTTCTGTTTTCAAGCTTGTACGCCTCACCTAAATGTTTCAGATCAGTCAACAAATTTCTGTAGTAGAGAAAGATTACCTGAGTAAATTTTAAAAAGCAGTTTTCAAATGCGAATTTTATGCATTAAAAGAAAAATGCTATCCAAATCGAAATGGCCCGGTGTGGATCTATAATCGCACCCCCATTTAATCATGACTTGACAGTGTTTTTTTTTTTTTTTCTCCATACCGGTTGATTACAGAAACAGAAACAAAGGAACGTATTCTTAATGTCTAGAAGACATTAAGAATACATTTTAAGGTTTGGGGACTCCTTTCGAGGAACCATTATTCATAAATAGAGAATACATGCTAACACCAAACAAAACGCAAAGGGGCCATCTCACATTTGACTTCTGGAAGTATTCTGTGGCTTTGCAAAACAAAAGCTTAACTTTATAAAAAAAGAAATATCTTACAGTCAAACATGTTAGTTTGATGGTCTGGGACTGCTTTGCCACTGCAGGACCTGACAAGCTGCCTTAATTGATGGAACCAAGAGGCTCTCTACCAGAAACTCTTCAAGGAGAACATGCAGCCTTTGGTTTGCACACATAAGCTCAACTCCACCTTGGTTATAGGGCAGCAATAGCAATACAAAGCAGTTCACTCTAAATAATTCAAATATGAAAAAAGGCAGCAAGTGGCCTTGTAAAAGTCTGCACTTAAAAACGATTGAAATGTTGGGACAGAAGTTTAGGTCCTCCAAAGTGGCCAACTTAAAACTATTTTCACACGCACATCTGTTCTTTGTCCAAAATTAAAATATGTTTGAGCTGTACAAGTGTGGCGAGTTTATAAATGAAAACCTCTTGCTTTGACAGGTCTGATGTATGAATCACATTTCGGTGCCAGAACAGTTTAAACACATCCCGGCCACCCTTCAACTCTGAATGTGTTGTTCTGCCTTCACGTTTCTCAGTAGTGGATTAAACCGGATCAAAGCCTTGCTTTCGGTTTTACCTTTAACCTGGTGCGTTCCGGTTGCCTCGGAATGTTGGAAGGCAGATCCAACACACCCGACTTCGCAGTGCTTCAAGCCGTCTATTTCACAGAAGACATTTTCGGGTAAATCAACAGGGAAACGCAGGGTGTGATAACCAGGGTTGAATTCCAGTTGCATGATTTTCAGGTTTTTCCACGCGGTGACGACCGACCAGCACGCAAGAGTGGAAGGGCTTTCTGCAGGTTCAAATGGAAAAACCGGTTTTATTCTGCTTTTAATTTACTCTGTAAGCAAAACTGTTTGTCCCGATAGGCTAATATTTGTGGCTAATGTGGGAACGAAGGTCCAACGCACCTGAATCAAATGACTGAATCACCTTCTCAATATCTCCAGAGTCCTGACGACTTTATTATTTAACTCAGGTGTTTTGAAGCAGAGCCACGTCTAAAGACGGCAGGAGACATCGAGGCCTCGGTTTGAAGATCCCAAACCAGACCCAACAATGCAGGCGAGCTGAAGGCCGAAGGCTTCTAATAAAGTAACTTGACCTTCCTGATCACCTCCAAGCTGCACTGATGCAGTAATTAATAGAAAGGAAGCTCTGACCTGGTACTGAATGCATACTCTCTAGATGTGCCTGGACACACTTTTTGTTTTTAAACAAGCACCTATACACGCTGACCTGACTCTGTATTTATTGGGTTCTCGTGATTTTAGTCTCCAGACATGTTGAGAAACCTCTTGAATTGTTTGCTGATTTTAAAGCTCATATTGTTATGTCATACGAGAAAAAAAAAAAAAAAATTGGATTTCGTTAGCTGCAAGCCAACAGCATAAATCAACGATGTAAGCTTTGTTTGTCCTTTGAAATTACTCAAATAAATTAACTGCAGGGGTTTTATTGTGTGCCATAGAGATGCAAGAAATGTATTGAGTTTTTTTTTTCTAAAAGTAGCAAGAGGATAACATGGACTGAACACAATAGGGAGAGTGTAATGTGTCAACAAAGTGCAGCTGTCTGCTATTTTTAACAGACAGTTAATTCATGCACTCCAGCACCAATATATATATGCTGGACAAAATGACTCACTGAACTCGCAACGCTTTGCATTAACCTGGACTTTCAGTTTTGATTTTCAGTGTCGCACAACGTAAATGTAAAGTTAACCCTCTCCCCAGTTCAGTCCCCACATTGTGTTGTTAGACAGCCTGCTGTTCAAATGCCACACAGTTCAGTTTGTCCTCAGCACCTGTTGTGATACTGACCTTGAACGCAGCAGTCCCAAGAGGTTTCCCCACCAAAGTTCACGTTTGGACAGATGGATGAAAATTCGAGTTAAAACGTGAAGAGAAAGAAATGTGAACGTTGTGTGGTGGTCGTCCACAGAGCGCAGGGTGGACAGTGGGTCCCTCTGACCCCCTGAGAGGGAGCTGCCGCTGGTTAAAGGTGACTTGATGTATTTATACTTTGACCATTGACAGCAGGGGCGGGACAGGACTTCTAAATCGGTGTAATAGACTATAGGCCATGTGATAATACAAGACGGTTTGTCAGCTGAGCAACAGATACTCAGCACTTCTCCATTTCTTGTATGTATACAAAATGAGAGACTTATGTAGAAGGTCATCAAAATCATCTGGAGCATAACTGAAGCAGAGCACACTGTCAAGACAGTCTATAGTTATTGCATTAAATGAAAATATATGTTTTTTTCCCCCCCTCATTTCCCTCACTGCCAAATCTGCTTTAGGAAGGTTTAATGCTGCTGCAACTTTGAGTTTCAGTCTCGATATGCATGTCTCAGATTCTGAAAGAAACTGTCAGCATGTTAACCAGCAGGCAGTGCCGACTAGTGACAGAACGTCAAAATGCAACCCAGCGGCGTTTGGGTTGCAAAAGTTTTCATTTTTTCCTCCATAAACTTTAACATATTTTATTAGGATTTTCTGTGACCGATCAGCAGGCAGACATGTACACTAAAGCATTGTGTAGATTTGTATTCGGTGTATTTTTGTTCTGTACCCTACTGACCCAGACTTGAAGACAGTTTAGGCTCAGGAGTTAAACTGAATAGAGTGTGACACCATGACTTTCCTATATTTTATTTTTAGATGCATCAGTATTTTAAAACAATCTTACCAAAGTCAAATCTTATTTCCAATGTTAAGCCTTGTAGATATCTCATATGATTACTGATTTTATAAAAGGCTCTTATTAATTTGGGACCTTCTTGGTTTCAATTCACTGTATATTTACAGTTCTATTGGGGGAACTAACATTAAAACTTATGACTCCTAACTTTTAAAAAACTTTACAGAAAACCCTTAAGCCACAGGTGTCCAGGAAGTGCTGGCTGCTTTTATTTCAACTTGTTAAATATCGATCCATTCTGGCTGAAAACTTGAACAGTGGAAGTCTTCCACTGATACCCTGATTACATTTTTCTCCCTTTTGAAAGAACAAACTGTCAAACATGGATGCAAAGTTGTTCACTGAAGACGTCCTGTGCAGGAGTTGCCTCGACTCTTAGACAAACAACATTTCAGTGATTGAAGTGGGATTGGTCCACCCGTGTGGCTCATTGCGACATAACTGCAGGATTCTTCTTGGTGGTGCGTTTGCATTGAGTCTGAAATATTTACGGAGCTGCTTGCAAAGGAAATGCGAGCTCTACTCCTCAATCGTGTCCTTTTTACTCGTCTCCTGCCCTTCAAAGATGGGATACTCGCTTTCCACTTCTGCCCAGGTCAGGGTGCCGTTGGCCAAATCGCGAACAATAACCGGCAACTTGTCAACCTGAAGAGGAATGGGGGGGGAAATGTATCAATAGATAAAGCCATGATGATTTTGTTGGATATGTATATATGACAAAGATAATTTGAGCAATTACAAAAAAGCAGTTTTCAAATGAACTAATTTAAAATGGGGGGGAACTATATAAACCCACATGACCTAACATGGTAACTAACCACCCCTAACTGCTTATCCAAATGTATTAAGAACCAATTGAAGCTGAAGTTGACAGAAAAGAAAAACGGGAACGGTTGCTGTACCTCAGCCCTGATCTGCCTCATTGAATCACGGTCCCTCAGTGTGGCCGTGTGAGGCGTCTTGTTCACCGTGTCAAAGTCAATGGTGATGCCGAATGCCACGCCGATCTCGTCTGTCCTAGCATAGCGCCTCCCAATGGATCCGGAGGAGTCATCCACCTTGTGCGACACGCCGTTTTTGGTCATGGCCTCGGCTAATGTGGGGGAACATGGGAATAGTGGGTAAATGTGCTGAAATACATCAGTTCTTTAAGGGTGAAAATGAAAAATATTAGGAAGGCACTTACATAGCTCCTTCACGAAAGGCATGAACTCTTGGTTTTGGCTCAGAGGTAAGACAGAACATTTGTACGGAGCTACAGTCGCAGGGAAGCTAAAGTACTGTAAAAAGAAACGTGATAGACACAAAGAACAGAAAAGGCTCTGGCTTTAAAAAGTACATGGCAAAATACTTTTTAAATGTAAATATAGGTTTAAAAAAATAAACACAATATTAGCCATGGAAAAATCCATGGTTGAAGAAAGTATTTAACTGCTTCGAGTCCAAAAACTCACTTAAATGCTGTTTTAGCAAACCATTCCATAAACTCCACTGCAAACCATAGTGAAATGCATGAAACAAGAATAATAAAAGCTAACCAACTAGATTGTTGCAGTAGTTTGACAGCAGTATTTAAAACTACTGCAGAAATTAAAGTGTTATACAATTCACCCAATCTGGTAACTTGACTAAACCTACCGTTCTCTGCTCATCGCCTTCTCTGATGTGGAATGTGTGTTCAAAGATGGTGTACATGATTCTACCGATGCCAAAGGAGGGCTCAATGACACTGGGAACAACTTCCTCCACTGCAGTTAAAGGGAAACGCAAGCTATAACGTTTTGATGGCGGGTAAATAATCCTGTTTATTCCTCAAAAGTCAATCTCACCATGCAAGGTCTTCTGGAATCTCTTCACTCCGACCATGTCCTTTGTGAGTGTAAAGGTCTTCCCTTCAGTCTCGATTGTGAACTCTCTGTAGAGCAGAAATAAATCATTGAAACTATGTGAAAACTATCAGTCCTGTAAACCTAAGAAATTCACTAACCCGTTATCATTCAGCAGCTGTTCCTGCTCTGCAATGAAGCATTCGTCACACACCGCCAGGTATTCCATCGCCAACTTGGCATCCTTTTTATAAGCCTTCCCAATAGCTCCTTTGTTGGGCTCAAACTGGACGACATTAACGGTTTTGTGCAGAGAGGTTAAAGGCAAATAGATCGTTGTGGCAAGGAAAAACACCAACACTTCAACAGACTTTGATGCCAAGTAGTTTAAAGGATATAGGCTCTTTCAGAGGTTTCTCGGCAACCAGAGGGACCTTTGTGGCTCTTGCATGACACTTCAGATCGTAACAAGACCGGTCAGCGCAGCCCACGATCTCAATCCAACCCTACAAAAGACCCCCCCCGGTATTTTAAGCAGCAGAACTAGAAAAAAATGCATTAGTCTGAAGTTTGCACTGTATTGGAACTTACATAGGAGGTCTTGGTTTCAGCATCCCAGCAGTCACAGGCGTAGTGAGCCATCTCGTTGTCCATGTGCTGTCGGAAACGCAGCTTATCTTTGGCAACACCGACTTTCGTAAGGTAGAGGTAGATCCTCCCAATGAAATATCCCAGGACAGAGTTATTAATCACTCCCTGAAGAAAACGATAAAAATAAATAAATCAGTTTCCCATTTTAGATTCCAAGCAATACCACGGTTCTACAACTGGGTGAGAATCACAGATATTTACTTGTTCCACAGCGTCTCCCAGCCTCATGATATGGGCTGACTGGCCACTTGTCTGGGCTTTGGATGAGTACAACATGATGTCCAGGTCTGCCACGCTGGAGAATTTAGGATGGATCTTCTCATTTGGGTCCACGAAGTGCTCGATCTCAGCCATGGTGAACTCCCTGCACAGACAGGGCGGCAGGCACAATCCAGTTTATTCTCGCCATCCAAATGCACAACCAACAGGGTTACAGGACATTTCCATGTTAAAATGTCATAGAGATCCAGACTTAGTCCTAAGATGGATAGATAAATGCAACTTTTAAATAAGAGTGCATTAAAAATTGCCTGGAAATTAAGATGTTTACTTTTGTTGTCTTCTTTCATCATTATCCAGACCTGCAAAGATGCTTAAATCCAATTCCAGACTTGATGTTTTTCCCCCCATCCTACAACCCCAAAGAGGAATTCTGAGGATTGCTCACCTAACCCGAATGAGTCCAGAGCGAGGAGAGATTTCGTTCCTGAAGGAGTTTCCGATCTGAGCAGCGGCAAAGGGAAGTTTCCCCTGGTTGAACTCTAGGAGGCGCTTGAAGTTGAGGAAGATTCCCTGAGCAGTTTCAGGCCTCAGATAGCTGGAAATGTACGTCATATTCAGAGATTTTACAAAAAAACCCAAAAAACATTACAAACTGTCCCCACAGTTTAAATGCTTTAACACACCCCGGCATATTCCCTCCTGGTCCGATGGATGTCTGAAACATCAGGTTGAAGGAGATTGGAGCGGTGAGCTCATTTCCTGTGGTGGGAGACTTGACGTTGTATTTCACAAAAAGGTCCGTCAGCTCTTGTTGGGAGTAGTTGTCCAACTAAAAATGGTTTTAAAAACATTAATGATCTGGTCAGAAATCATTTGCTCACCGAGAAAATTATATATTTTGTGGATGGAGCTGACCTGAGTGATGACACTGTCCATCTCTGCCTTTTTCTCAGCTGCACATTTCTTATCAGACATGAGCTTCTGGAGATGAGCTGCAGGTGAACAAATATAAAGCAGTCAAGTTATGATTAAAGACAACTGTTAGTGACCGGTTTAAAAAAAATATGTTAAGCGCAGTCAGTAAACCATTAAAAGAAGAATCTATTAGTTTTAATTCCTAATGACTCAAGAGCTCAGTGTTAAAAAACTCATCTTTTAACTTTATGTAGTGTTTTTTTTTTTTTTACCTTTCAGAAGGTGGTCAGCCCTGAAGCATTCGCCATTTTTGACATCTTTCACCATATAGTCTGCAAACTTTTCCACATGTCCAGATGTCCTGGAACAAAAACGCAGTAAGAATGAGCCTCACGGAGCAAATTCAAACCAAAGTCGAGTGTATCTGCAACCGGGCTATGGAGCGCTGCTGTAGCTGCAGGTTCCATGCATAAAATCGCAGAAGTTCGTATGCGCCCGTCAATAAAAACCTACAGCTCGGCACTTTGGAGCCGACTCTAGGAACCACAAGGCGCCTTCAGCAGAGGCAATGATTGGATACAAATCAATAAAATTTTTTGACTTTAGTCAAAGAAAAAAAATATATATATGTTGATGTTATCTATTTTTCAGTAGATAACATCAAGGAATACGAGACGAAATGTTCGAATTTAAGATGATACGTCTGCACTTCAATTGAGCTTAGTAAGAGACATAAATAAGACAGATGTGCAGAAGTAATGGAAAACATTTCTGTTGCATGAACAAGGCCTCCAGCGCTGCAACAGTGCACCTACTTGAGCACAGGCTCAGGAGTCAGCATGGTGCAATCGATCTCCAGGATCTGCTCCTCCTGGATGAAGTGCTGCCTCCACACCTGCAGGATGTTGTTCTTCAGGGCACAGCCAACAGGGCCAAAGTCATACAGGCCGCTCACACCTGAGGAACAACGGTTACCAATCAGAAACACACATACAACCTTTTTCTGACCAGCCATTTCACCGAATTCTTTAACATTTTCTAATTAGAAAATTTAACAGATTTCCAGACAAATTTTCCCCGCTATTTTTAGTTTCTTTACCTTCACTTAAAAATACAAACATCACTAAGAATTTCTGCAGACTAGCTTAGATTGAAAAACCAGCAAAAGCCAGACACTAACTGAAGGAGAAAAGGTATCGAAAGGAAGGACAGCATCAGTTAAAAGAAAGATCTCAAGAAAAAGAACGAAATGCATGCAAATATCATTTAAGCGTTTTCATCCCAATAAATTACAATTCTTATAATAATGATTAAAAAAAAAAATCTCACAATTGCCCACTCTACTAGTAGCTATGTAACACGTTACCTCCATAGATGGCAAAGGCCTGATCATAGAAGAACCGCCTCTTCAGGGTGTCCTCCATCTTGGTTCTGTCAACAATATCATCTTTGGGTTGCAGCGACAGCTCCTGTGAACATTACACCACCTTCTAATGTCAGAGTGTTGCACACGTACAAATGCTAGGATGCAAGCCAGGCTGCTTAACGAAACAAAATGGATCAAAACAGTTTGTATGTGAACCTAAAGTAGAATCAGTGTAAGATCAGATCAAGCAGCATGTTGCAGAAATCAGACGGTTGTTTAATAACTACTGTTTGGATCGTAGGTGTTTCTATAAGAAATGTCTCTGGAATGTCATTTGTGGTGAACTGGCGATAATTTCACATTTGAGCAAAGTGGAGATGATCATCCTGGTTTACTGAACGCACACTCAAAAGCCCAAAACTATTCATACTGTGCAACAGATTGCACGAGATTTGAAGGTGAGTCTGTGAACATGGAGTAATTCTGTTGAGTGCATAATCAGATGACGATCACAAGTGATTTACCTTGGCCTCTAAAGTCCTCTTCCTTGCTTTCAATTCTGCCACGGCTTTGGTCACATCCACATCAGGAGCTCCTTCCTGTTTCATTTTGCGCACCAGGTCCCCCTGAGGAAAAGAATCAGAGCAAACCCCTGAGACAGCTACAGACGCCACTGGGCTCCAGTTTGGGCCTGTTTTACTAAGCTAAAGGCCGATTACAGATGTGGAGTTTTGGCACCAGCAGATCAGCCTCCTTTCTGCACCCCACCCTTCAGCTGGCTACTGTCTGCAGCTGCAGAAGCGGCTCAACGTGGCAGACAACACATGATTGTCAGCTAGCAGCAGCTAGCTTCGGTAGCTGCTTATGCACTGACAGCTTGTAGCAGGCGGTATATACACAAGTGTTTTATTATTAAAACTGAACCGTATGGGGCCGTTCTGTTAACTAATAATGAATAAAAGCAAATAGATCAGCTGTACCTGTTCTTTGACTGCCTGCCTCAAAGGGGCGAGAATCTCCTCAAAGTTGCCGTCCCCCATGGTTTGTCCTTCCTTGAGCTGCAGCCAGAGGCTTCTCTGCTTCTTATTACACAGGGAGACAGACGCTGAAAACTGCCTTCTTCCGGGCGGATGGTGGAGCGACAGCCGGACGAAACGGGCCGTGAATAGCGGACGGAGGGAGGAAATCTCAGTGGTGGTCCTCAGCAGAGCTGATGCAGCGCTGCGGAGAAGAAGCATGGACCGGTGAACTGCAACCACAAGAGAATGATGAAATCTCTGGAAACAAGTAAACACCGCCTACAGCACGGGCTCGGCACTTTCGCTACAAATCACACCCAATAATAAGGAATCTATGCGCAGATTCGTTAAAAACTTCAATACTTTTTATTTTATTTCATTTATTTCTACTAAAATTACGGGGGGAAAATCAAGTAAAATTTATTCGGGGTTCAAGTCCAAAACAGGTTGAGGAGAATATATTCGTTCAAGATTGCTTAAAAGTAACATTACACAACAATATCAAAAAATATTTTGTAACAGGTGGCACCACCAGGTGTCGCACCCTCCACAGCCTGAGCTTCTATAAAAGGGAAGCTGGAAGGCCAAGTGTCAATTTCCTGTGTGTGTGACCAGGTGTGTGTTGGGCCCACGGGTTCCACTGTTTGCTGGCTGTTGTAGGTTTGGAGGAAAACTGTAATAGATCTGTTTGAATGTCCCGAGCCAGAGCCGCACAGCATTTTGGGAGATGAAGGCAGAGGAAATGCTTTAGCTGCTCAACCTCTCACAGCAAGCTAAGCAAGGTGAGCGGCATCAACTTAACTCACTCCCTCTTCAACCAACAACCTGATGAAACTTCTGCAGGTTCAGGTTTGGCTACCGTGCCTCATAACTGTTTAAAAATAAACAATGGCATGGAGTGAAAACTGGATTAAACAAGAAAGCTAATTTAATCTATTTAAAACAAAATAACTAATTGGTAAGTATCAATATTGCCAATTATCGATATTGACTGATGTCAACTGATCGATAATGCCCAGATTAAACATTCTGTCCATCTTTGGGAGACTTTAACAAAGGTCCTTCAGAAGATCTGATAAAGTATATCAGATGACTTTAAAAGGCTTCAGGGACCTGTGGCTGTTTATATGCCAAATTTTAATGATCAAGAGACAGCTGAACACTCTTCTATTGTACAATCGGTGCCAACGTACTGCCTTTTTTTATAAGATTTTTTTTGGCACTGCACTGTCACCAGACAGGAAATGGACATAGAAAGATGGGGGGGGAAGACATGCAAGCATGAATCAAACCCAGGACTACTCCCCAATTATACTTTTTATCATATGTTTGTCTTTTACTAAGCTTTATGGATAGTTTTTTTTTTCTACGAAAATTATGTTTGCGATATAGTCAGATGTTTGTTTTGATTTCCAGGTTATTTAGAAAACATGTTCTTGTGTAGAATATGCAGTATTTGCTTTCAGTCACTAGAGGGCACTGAAAACAAGCTCTGCTTAGCCTCATAGCAGTCTTTCCTTTCAGCGCTGCTGCAGACTTTTGAGGTGAAAGTTGAACTCCTACATTGTAGTTTCTGGTGAAGTTTGGAGTTAAGTGATGTAGAAATACTGAAAATAACTGGATCAAAATTACATATTTAACTGGTTTGAATCCCACACTCAAACTTGAAATGTACAATACCTTCAAAGTACTGTGTTCTCAAGCCACCTAATAAGTTGACTCCATCTGTTTGTAATTTGATCTTTTCTGATTTTTATACTTTTAAAAACCACCGTTATGTTCTGTTTGTGTCAGTCTGTCACATCAAATCACTGTAAAACACACATTTACAGCTTATTGTTGTACCAAACAACACGAAGAAAAGTTCAAAATGCATGAAATCTTATTCAAGGAGTTGTCATTTATCATTTCCAGTACAAGTAATATGACTGAAAATTATTTTTAAATGTTAACAGAACCTCTACGTTATTGTTCTTTTCTTACTACTTACAATAAAATATATGAATACCATCAGCGGTGAAACTGCGGTGCGTCATGGGTGTTTCGCTGATTATAAAATCTCAAACATTTCATTCCTTGTTTTTAATGTATCCACAACCTGCATCATGCAGTGCGGTTTTGTATGTCATCAGATTTCAATTATCTGTCCAGTCTGGGCAGACTCAGTAACCTGAGATGGACTGAACGTGATTGTGCAAAGTAGCTGTGAGAGCTGCGCCGTGGTGTCAGTTGTACACATACGCCGTTGTGGGCCACCAGGACACAGCCACTGACCCACATTGAGAGCAACATGTCGGCAATTAGATTACACACTAATTATGAGCAGCATCAGCAGATGACAGCCCGCACCTACCACTGCTTCCCTTCTGTCCGTACGCCATCATCAGACACTCATTTCCCAGGTGGGGTCCTTTGGGGCGACGTGTTCCTAGGCTCCATTAAAGGGAACAGCTGATGTGACTAGGGAAGGCCAGTGAATGCGTCACCACTGGCAGTGGACCAGAAAACCACTTTATCTCCCCTGCTGTTATTCTACAGTCCATTGAGACTGAAGCTGAACGAGTTCTGCTTGTTTCATAGGGGATTAACAGGGTGAAGGTCTTAACATTGATTAACACTGATGTTGTACACTAATTTAGAAATGATTTCTGTTTGAAGACGTGCTAAGAGGGTCTCTAATTTGAAACGGTATCGAAGCAAAAGACCAACGTCTAAAGAAATGCCAGCGATCAAAATATATGACTGCACACACAAATCAAAAATCAAGTCTATCATTCAGAATAAAACCGTATTTAAAATCTTATTTGAGGTCCAAGACAATGTGAGAAAAATATTAGCCTTTTAACAGATTTCTTATATTCCTGCCTATTTTCTTACGCTTGACTGTTTCAGATCGTAACGTAAAATCGAGGATGAGCACAGTATTTATGAAATGCAGTTTTCAAATATAGAATTTCGTTTACTGTTAAAGCAAGCTTTCCAACCTAATCTGACTCTGATGTGAAAAAGTAATTGCTCCCTCATCGTGATAACTGGATGGGCCGCGCTTGGGGGTGAGAACTTGCTTCCTCTAACCGTAAATAAACTTTTCATGCTGTGGGGACATTTTTGCCTCTCTCTTCTTTGCAGAAACGTTTTAATTCAGCCACATAAGAGCAATTCATTGTTCCACTAACACAAGCAATTTACCATGTTTGACTGAGGTATAGTGTTTTGCAAAACTTCTGTTTTTTTTAAGCCATACGTAACAAGACACACACCTTTCTTTAGATGACGTTTTATTTCTTAAGACCTTGGGTGATTACTTTTTTCACGAGGCTTTGGTTGGTCCGGATAGCTCAGTTAAACAAATTTACACCATCCGCATCTGATTTAGCTTTGGTTAGTGTTCTTTTTGTTTGTTTGTTTCTGGGGTTGAAATAATTTTTAATTACATTGGTTCAGTAGTTATTTACCATCTTAAACAACTTCACGGTTTTATCAATATTTTCTTTTTTTTTTGCCCGTCAGATGCTTCAGACGGTTGTATAAGTGCATTTTTCAAATATTTTGCTTAAAATTCATTTGTGCTCATTTACAGAGCAGTTGAAGGAGAATAATATTTGGAGATTGTCCTGTTTGGTTATGCACTGTAATGTGAAATCCTTCAGGCACTATGGCTAAACATCTGCAGTTTCAAGACTTTTTCAGACTCCAACAGGTTTCCTTCCTGCATGCGCTTCTCCACTAATTGTGCCCATCAAATCTGACCACCCTGTAACTGCTGAAGAAACTTATTTGCTGATTTTATTTAGTTAAACTGCAAACAGAACTTATACCTTACTTCCACTGTTCCAGAAAGACTAGTTTTGTTGGGTAATTATAATTCCTGTATCAGTAATTAGATGAACTCTGAAGGCAGCTGATTATAATAGATTCTGCTTATGCAGAGTAAAAGGCGGTAAATGGAAATGCACGCCACACTTCAGCTTTACATTTGTAAAAAATAAATAAATAAATAAAAATTCATGAAAACCAAGTAAAAATTTCCCGTCTTCAGAATAATACACTACTTTGTGTTAGTCTTTCACTTGCAGAAAAGCTCCAGTATACATTGAAGCTTCATGTTGTGGCTTGAAATGTTTGAAAAACTTCAGTGGTTATGGATACTTTTGAAGGGCACCGGAAGTATCTAAACATAATCTTTAAATATAAATGAATTAAAGTATTTATCATCTCTTTTTTTTTTAGCAAAAAAAAAAAAAAAAATCACATTAAAAAAAGAGGGAGTCGGACAAACAGGCTGATATTCAGCAGCATGCACTTTAGTGTATCATAGCCACGCTGGAGGCGCGTTGTTGTGGAGCGCAAGCTTGTGGCAGGCAGGAGGACGGTCGCCATCTCTGGGTAAACACTGTAACCATATTACGCAGTTGATATTGTAGTGTGTGGACTGAAGCCGGAGCGCACAGTAGCAGCAGCAGCTACAGCCGCGGCAGAAGGCGGGGGCTATGCTGCCCGCAGCAGCAGCGACCACAGAGGACACATACGGCGGCTTCAGAGCAGGACTGACGCTTTTGTTTGTCTCTTGCACGTCGGAGCTGTCACTTCACGTCTGAAAGCGATCCTCGGTGCACTTTCATCTCCCTGAGCTGTTTTTTTTCTTTCTTTCCTTCTTTCTTTCTTTCTCCCCTTCCAATGTTTTTGAGCGGATGGGACTTGCACGGTTCCAGTGAAATGGGATTTTAATGGTGCACGTAGCAGCAGCCTGTGCACAGCCGGGGGACCGTAGCTGTAGCAGCGCGCCGGGTGATGATCGCCGAAGAATAAAGCGGTGCAGCCAAAGGTGCGCAACATCTCGTTTCCATGGACAACACGTCCATAATAACACAGGTTGCAAATCCGAAAGAGGAGGAGAGCATCTCATCGAGTCAAGATAAAGGTAAGCCCGCGCAGAAATGTCCATTGACACAATCTGTTCTCTGTTTTTTTTTTTTTTTTTGTGTGTTTGTTTTTATGGCGTTTGGTTATTTATTTCTGGATTCGGCTGTTAGCGCGGCGACAATCTATCCAGATCTGTAGCCCTCCGTGCAAAGAGGAATCTCTGGACCGCAATAGCAAAAC